TGGACCTGTGATTTCTAATTTTCAGAAATAAATAACACTGTTAAAAATATACTTGCATACAAAGTTTTTTCAGTATTTGGGATTGTTTTCTTAGGACAAGTGAATGCAACTAGAATTACTGGGGCAAAGTCCCTTAATATATACTGGCAGCTGGGACTCTACAAATCTACACCTCTACCTGTAGTATATGAGTGCTCATTTCAATATACCTCATCAGCACTTAAGTCTTCTTTTAAAAACATATTTGTTAATTTAAAAGGAAACAAATGGGAACTTATTTTAACTTTCATTTCTTTATTCTTTGGTTCCTTTCTGTCCATTCATCTATTGAGATTTGAGGGTTTTTTTCCTCCTACTGGTTTATTTATGTTCTTCATATTTGAAGCATATTAACCCATTATCATATTTGCTTTTTCTTTTAAATAACTGCTTTCATTTTTTCTTATAAAGGCATATCAGGTGAGCTGTTTTCTTTCTTCACTTTTCAGATTAGAAAGTTTAGATCTGATAAATATTCATTTTTGTTTTCTTCTATAAATTGTGGCTTGATTTTTAATCCGCCTGTGACTTCATTTGGGGAGAGATAATACTGAGGGGTTGTACAATTTCAAATCAGCACATAACACAATGTTTGTTAACTACATCATTCAGATTATTGATGTATAAAAACAATCCCTAACATACTCATGTAAAGTAATTAGGTCTTACTTAGAACTACTGGATCTTCCATTACAAACTTAGCAACTAACTTTCTTTACATATTTTCAAACACACACACAGAGAACTATACCAATAATTGTTAAAATGTTCAAATAAAAATTTATCTTAAACTGATCATCTTACAGGATGAATCTGTTCCTAATAGAAACCTAAAGACAAGAGCTGGTGAAACCTTTAACAGACTGAAAATGTATTTGTTCATCAAGAACCTAATATCTATGTTTATAGCACAAGCATTCCTTTAAAGAGCTGATATTTCCTATTCTAGAACACTAATCCTTTCCATGCATGAATCTCAAGGTTGGAAGAGAAATTAATTGTCATTACATTATGTTCTAAAAAAATTCATACCGAGTGCCCAACTTCCAAACTGTGCTTGAGTAGCACAACTGACAGACTAGTCACCACATGAAGTGATACCTATGCTTGAAAATCCAACTCTGCAGTTGTCTCCAGATTTATTTCAGAATAGGGGGATTCTGCTACCTCCTCTTAAAAAGAACATCAGTAATCTTTCAGACATAGATAACCTTAAAAAGACAAAAAACACAGTTGCTTTATCTTGGTATCAAATACACATTCCATTACCTTTTGAAATAGTTAGTGCTGGAGACCACTGTGACCGTAAAATGTCAAGACAAATGCTGCCATTACTGTTAATATTTGGATGATAAATTCTTGTTGTAAATGCAACCTACAGAAAAAAGGAAAACTTTTTGTAAATTGGTTTATTAATATCATAGAAAGCACACTGAAAACAATTGCCACATCCCAATTACCTTAGGTGGTTTGAAGGGATAATCTGTTGGAAAATGAATTGTCAAGAAAAATACTCCACCCTGATAGGGACTGTCATTCTGTTGATGACAAGAAAAGTGAGATTAAAATGAGTAAATTACATAAACTATTTATTCTGAAATTAATCTGAATACTTACTGGCCCCATTATTGTAGCTTGCCAATGGAACACTGAAAAAGAACAAAAAAAAAAAAAAAAA